TTTGCTGCGCTTGGACACCCCGCGCGATTCGGCGAAGGAAGGCGACCGGCCCACTCGACCACCCATTACCCTACCTCCCTTGGGCACGGTAAGCGACTGCCGCTGGGTTTCCCTGGGCGTGGATGGGTGCCGTCCGCCGCGGCGGTGCAAGAGGCTGCCGCCGCCGCCTTTACCTATAAGGCTGAGTGGGACCCGCACCCGGCTCCCCGGTTGCTTGTGAGTCCTCGGGAGCCATCTCTGGTGACTGGCCCGGTCCAGGCAAGGCAGCCTTGCCTCGCTGAGCCCGCACCCAGCCCCAGCTGGGCCGTGGTCTTTCCCCCTCCAGCCTCCTTGAGAGGAGGGCTCAAGGACTGGAGCCCGCGCCGGCTGCATCTTAGGACTGAGAGGATGGGATGGAGAAGATGGACGAGCGGAGCTGTTCGGGCCAGCATTTCTGTTCGAGCGCTGCCGGGCAGGTTTCCTCCTGTGTAAAATGCGGTCGCTCTCATTTTACGTGCTCAGACCGTTAAAGCTGCCCATCTCCGCTGGTTGTCTCGTGTGGGTCCCAAATTCGAAAGCGCCTCCAAGGTGTAGCATTTCAAAGATCAGATTGGCCAGTTACATAACCCCATAAAGCACATAGCTGTGGTTGGATCGCACTGGATTTTCGAATGGGCTGTGCCATCATTCAGATGAAATACGCTCGTTTAATATTATTATGTGGCAACCGCTTCTGCCTCCGGTGGGCCATGCCGCTATTAAAGCAAAATATGTTTATATGGCAGCACTTGTGTTTCCGTTCTCGCAAGCGTCCAATCATCGCTTCAGCAGTCTCAACAAAAACGTTTTTAGTATTTTCAGCATTAATTTCAGTATATGTAAAACTTATTTTTCAGGATAAAATGTGGAAAATATTATAAGAAAATTGAGAGCCTTGGAAGTTGGGCTAAAATACTTTCTTGAAGTTATGTAATTCTAATACATAGAGGAGATGCTGAATGTAAATGAAGCTCTGACTCAGCAGTGTGCCACAACTCACAAGTTTGTTTTGAGGTCACTGTGTTCTAGATTTCATTATGAACTGAAGGTCTGTGAAAAAGTTGGGTTGCTTATAAATAAATAAAAAGTAAGACGTTTTCATGGGTGCTCACAGGGAGGTCAAAGGGGCGGTAAGTTATGCACTGTGACATCATCATGCAAATGATGTGAATTCGTAATTTGTGTTATTTTTGTGAGTATGCATGTGGTGTCTTTGGGATGTCTACGGATTTTTTGTTTTTCCAAATGCATTGTTAAATTAAGCCACATAATTCATTTTAAATGACACTGAAAGCAATTCTGAATTTGCAATCAAAACTACAAAAAACAAAATTACATAATTACAAAGAATAAGGGGACAGAAACCTGTTTGGAGAAGTTGAGTTCACCCATTGTCATAGAATATGCTTTTGGTTCAGTGTCTGAGGCCAGCAAGGGCAGTGCATGGTTTGTTTTAGTTTTGAAGTTTATTAAACATTTAGATTGTACAGCTTCTAGTGCACAAATATCCACGTAAGTGCAGCACTATGTACCATACAGCAAAACACTTAGCATTTGATATCCTAAAACAAACTGCTAATGCCAAGTGGTTTGTTTTAGGTTATCAAATGAAATTAAAACTATGGTTGGTTGTTACAAATAAAAGAGAATATACTATGTAGTTCAAGGTTGAACTGTGGAGTCCTTGGGGTTCTCTGAGCTTGGTTGTTTTCTTGCAGATGTTTCATTACTGGTCTAGGTAACATCTTCAGTGCTAGAAGGGGTGTGATTTGCTCCCTGTTTATATACAGTAGCTTGCCCTGTCAATGTTGGTGGGGATGTTGTTTTCTCCTTGGTAATTCCTTGATTAAGCTGTTTACTGCTTGATCATTTGTCTGGTGTTGATCCTGGTGTTGATCCCTGTTTATCTGGGTGT